AATTTGGTGGCGACACTCCTTACAGGTATATGAGAGTTTTAGGCTGCTAGAATATCCTAATATGTGCACACATCATCTGTCCATTTTCTCGGTTGCTTGTTATCTAGTTATTTAGTTTTCTTGTTATGTTTCTATGAAAACTCGGAGTTCCATCTCTCTTTGCCTGAAGCTCTCTTCCTTGATATAGTGCAAGCGATAAGGGTCCAACGATCTTTTACGTGCATAGAATCTGAACGTATGAATTAATTCCATCGAGATATATAAAAATATTGAATAATTTTCATAGTAGTTCCCCTTAATTTATCCTTTTAATGTTATATACTTGATGTTTGAAATACTTGTTTATATTCATTGGTATATTTTGTAGTTTCTAATTTTTATGTAGGACAAATAAATATACAAGAAATATCATGAAATCAAATTGATTGCTATTTTTTTATCTTACATGCAAAAAGTGGGTACTATTGCTACTAAAGGAGTTATTATATTTTAAAAATTATATATATGTGTGTATGTATGTATGTATATAATCTCATAAGTCAAAACAGGTAAACAAAAAATGGCAACTTGTTGAATTATTTACTTAGTACAAAATAATCTAGCAGAAAAAACAACCAATTTTTATATTCACATTATGGATTAGTAAAAAGTGATAAGATCAAATATGATTTTCATTACTGTTCTATGAATTAAAAAAAAAAAAAAAAAAAGCGATATCTCTACAATAATATTGCTTGCTTTATATGAGGGAAATAAAATAGAAATAAAAAGTAAGTGATAAGATTCTTATATAAAAAGATGAAAAATAAGTTAATCAGATCCTAAGACAAATATTATGAAAAAAACTGACAAAATTCCTATTAAAAATTTAAAAGTTTCTAATTTTAGAATTTCTTAACAATAACCTAGTTCTATATGTATTAACTCTTAGAGTTGGTAATGTCTTGATATGAATAAAGATGTCATGCTTGGTCTTGTAAAGTTTAGTAAAAGCATATGAGGAAAGCATTTGATGATGACTTTGATTAGCAGCAGATTTGTGGATATTGAAAAACTTGTTTACCATGTTCTGCTCATTCGGACTTATGAATATTTCTAAATATATGGTTCCGTGTACTTGTTTTCACTCTAATCTGTTGACCTAATCCTGCCCTAAACGGTAATTATTCAATTTCACTTGAAAAATTCATGAATATTACCCAACTTAACTATTTAAAAATAATTTACAATAGTGGCTGCTCTTAACCATGAAAAGTGTTAAATGTTGAAACATGTAAGCAACATTCATATGCACATGGGAATTCAAGTTCTTTAGATGTCTTCAACCCTTATGAATTGTAGAGTTAACTTTTTGTCATTAAATTTTCTCTAGGGGGATAGGGGCTTCTCATTACCATGAAAAAAGCCATCCCAATGTCAAATGTGTATCTAGCATTCATATTCGGATATGAATTCAACTTGCTCTTTGAATAGTCTTACGACTTTTATGTAGAGTAGGAAATAGTTTGTCATTAGATTTGTGGGTTAAGATGTTGAGAGCATGTTTGGACATAAAATGTTTTGGTGTTGTTGGATTTTTTGGTTTGGTTTGGTTAATTTTGAAAAAGGTTGTATGGTTAATTGTTAGTGAGTATATTAAAATAATATTTAAAATAAAAAATTAAAATTGATTTGATGTAAAAGTGGGAGAGAAATGATTTGAAATAATGGTTAGTTAAAATACTGTGAGTCGATGAATATTGAATTAAGGTTTGATGTGGTGTGTATAAATAATTGATTGATATTATTTAATTATATTTATAGTATTGATGATAGTGCGGTTGAGTTAAAGTTGAGTCAAAAAAAGTGGTTGATTTAAAATGTTGGATTTTTTTTTTTTTAAATTTTTTTGTATGCAAACATACTCAAAAAGTGATAGATTTTTTTTTTTTTATTTTTTTAAAATTATAATGATTCATTTATAATTTCATTGTTGTGTTTTTATGACGGGGCCATAGAAAACCCTGCTATTATATTCTAAATTAGGATTTTACATCTCCAAAGTGCTGGATTTTTCTTTTTGGCACATTTGTCTTATACACTCTATTTGAAAAGCACTGATTTGAAATTTTCCTTTGACTGACAGTATGATGTTTGGACCTGATATATGTGGCACTCAGACGAAGAAACTTCATGTCATCCTTTCATACCAGGGTCAAAACTACCCTATCAAGAAGGATTTGCAATGTGAAACGGACAAGTTGACTCATTTTTATACATTCATCCTTAGGCCTGATGCGTCATACAGTATTCTGATTGACGGTCGAGAAAGAGATTCAGGAAGCATGTATACAGATTGGGATATCCTTCCTCCCCGCAAAATTAAGGCCAAGAATGCAAAAAAGGTTGTTTTTTAGGGGAAGAAAAATCTATTCCAGCCTTTTTCTTGAACTAAGTAGTCAGTGTTAATAGATTTAATTGATATGCTCGTTTCATCCTCCTTATTATGCCGTTTACATGCATCTTATTTGTGCACTTTGTTAACCACTGTGGTAGAATACTTGATTTAGTTCTAAGCTCGCATGCTTATTGTCATCAGAATAGAATACTTACTTTTTTCATTTCAAAAACTGTTGTGGCAGCCTGCTGACTGGGATGATCGAGAATATATAGACGATCCAAATGACGTTAAACCTGAGGTATTGCAGTGCGCTGCATTTACTGGGTATTTAAAAGTTGATTAGTATCTTTTGTTTATCTTTCTTTTATTTTATTATTTTTTATTATGCATTACACTGCAGGGATATGATTCTATTCCACGCGAAATACCTGATCCGAAGGCAAAGGAGGTTAGTTGGGTCACTAATCATCAAGAATATTTTTTCACAAGTTTTGTCACCTGTGTGTTATCATGAACTATGAGGTCATGATTGGAAAATTATGGCCAACGGATGCTTACTCTGCTTTGATTCTTAGCCTTTCTTCTTAGTTGTGTGTGGAATTGCTCGAATTCACTATGAAATTTATTCGTTAGATAAAAACATCTTTAGGATTCTCTAGTTGTCCTAAATGTCAAATGAAAGACATGTAATATTAAAAAAAATTTACTTATTTGTGTTATTTCGAGCAGCCGTTTGACTGGGATGAAGAAGAAGATGGAATATGGAAAGCACCCAAAATTCCAAATCCAGAATACAAGGGACCATGGAAGCCTAAGGTATGGCAAGATGATTTTGAAGCCTCCAAGCAATGCCTTTATTCCTTTTTTATCGTTGCACTGATATTGGCATCAAATTCTATTTTATTGAGCAGAGAATCAAGAATCCTAATTATAAAGGAAAATGGAAGATCCCTTGGATTGATAATCCTGGTAAAGCATATCCATAAACATTAGCCTGTGACTTTTCCATACTCAGAAATTTTCAAGGAATAATTTGGGATGTTAAGCTTAACTTGGCCATTTTTTATTCTTGGCCAGAATTTGAGGATGACCCCGATCTGTATGTTCTAAAGCCTATCAAGTATGTTGGTATTGAAGTTTGGCAGGTGGTTTTTCAACACGGCTAACATTTTACCTTTTTTTCTGTTTTTTTTTTTAATAATTTAATTAGCTTTGATATGGTTACAGGTGAAAGCTGGCTCTGTTTTTGACAACATTCTGATTTGTGACGATCCCGACTATGCAAAGAATGTAGTGGATGAAATTTTCGCTAATAGGGAGGTGGGGCCCTTCTGTTTCAATCAATTTCAAGATCACATTTTGTGTCAATTGCCAGATACCTTGTCACTTATGTAACACTCGTTTTCCCAATTCTGGATTTTATTTAGGCTGAAAAAGAAGCCTTCGAGGAAGCAGAAAAAGTGAGGAAAGCAAAGGAGGAAGAGGTATAATCACCGAACCAGTTGGCACCTTATAATTCAATTCACATATGAAGTGGTTTAATTTTTGTTTTATATTTGTCTATTTAATGCAGGAGGGACAGAGAGCAAGAGAAGAAGGTGAAAGGAGGAGAAGAGAAAGGGGTCATGATAGAAGGTATCGAGACAGGGAGCATCACAGAGAGAGATACAGAAAGGTTAGTCCTTTCTTGGTCAAGCTATATTGTCAGTTTAACCGTAATATTTATTAGGTCTGAAAGTAAATCTTTTGTTAAAGCCAGAAGTTTCTATTCCATATGTGAAGTGTCAGATAATTTTCCGAAATCTTCTCCCTCTCCCCAATTCCTACCCCCTTTTACGTTTAACATGACAAATAAATATTCAGCTTACATTTCTTGGATTTGTTTTAACTTTGTTAGAAATTGAAGATATAGGCTATAGGATAAGATGTGGATGAGAGCCATCTACAGAGCGTTCCTAGTATTCTTTTATGCTCGTGTTGTTCTACTTTTGGGAAGGGTTTACCCCTTTTTTCTGTTGTCAGAGCTAACAGAAATCTGAAAATTTACTTTTACAGCGCCGCCATCATTATATGGACGATGACTATCATGTAAGTACACTTTATTTACTTTGTATTTCAAATTCCTACTGTGTATTCGAATGAAAGTTGATGAGAATCATCAATTTTTTACATTCTTGAATTTAAATATGGGAAAGCACAATTAGTAAAAGTTATGAGATTGATAATTAAACAAATAGGATCGTTGAAGAATAATCATAATACATTTACCTGGCACCATGTGAGATATTCGTAGTTAGAAATAACATAAAAAAATACTCGTCTTGAATTCTTAACCTCTCTAGTCTCTGGCTGTCATGATGTTTGGAAAATAACTTATTAACATATCGCATATTTTTCTGAAATTTTTAGCTCTAGGAGCTATAACGTGAAAGCTTGGTTACTTCTGTTATATTTCTGGACTGTTTTTAGAAACTTCACTATTTTATAGGTCACCTAAATTAGTGGCAAGTATGACCTGATTGATACTCTTCCAGTAAAATACTGAATGTACCGACCCTATACTGGATATTGTTATTTTTCAACTCAAAACACGATAAAATCATCTACATTATACATTACATCTTCTCGTATTGAGATTGAGTTTGAGTTCAGTTTAACTACGCTCGTCCATTATTTCGTCGCAATAATTTATTCCTAAATTGATTTGTTATTTTGTCTATTTTTCTTTACTTTTGCAGGATGAGCTGTAAAAGCCGGCCCACTTTGCAAAACTCGGCTATTGTTCCATGAACCCATTTTCGATACTGTCAACGTTTTCTTTCGGTCTTCTGAAACCTGCCCTGGGTTCTCGTAGAATTGAAAAATTGGTATTCTATTCGAGGATATTGTACTCTGTAACCATAACATAAGAAACACACAACAGCTTTACAGATTCGTCTTCCATTTTTTCCTAAAGCAAGAATGGCCGTCTTGTTGTCTTGTTATGATAGTGAACGCTGAAAAAAGATGGGGACACCACACTTCTCTTTATAAAATTCCAACTTTTTTGGACTATAATGCATCAATGATCAATCAATTCTTGCTTACCCTTAATAGCCTTCTCATTTTATAAAAAATGGGATATAATCACTTTTTATGAGATTATGAATAATAGTTATTTTGCTCTATAAAATAACCAAAATAACCTCTCTATACCTTTTTTTCACTCAAAACATTTTTATAGCTGCAAAAATGATTTATAACGTTTTTTGGAACACTTAAATAATAATCTCGAATTGTTATATAATTAATTTTTAGAATCCTATACATGGTTTTTTGAACATATGAACAATGTCTTCAATTTTACAATTGATTTTTGGAATTCTAGAAACGATTTTTTGGTGACATGTACATTATTTTCTAATGGAAAATTTGGGACTACGGGTAATTGTGTGATTTTTACATGACAAAATGAATATTATTTTTATTCTCACGAAAATGAATATTTCATCCTTGTATTTGATGCTTGGCTATAAAATAGACACTACTTTTTTATTAGTTATAGGGGGATTGGAAGTCTAAATTCCTAGTTACTTCAATGTACAAGGAACGAACAATGTATCAGTTGGTGCAACATTTGAAATTGATAAATGAAATAAGCTACTCGTGAGCTAGGTTCATCTCAGCTCGAAATCTTAAATCATGTTTGGAAATCACGCATTATAGTGAAGAAAGAGTGGAGATATTTCTTGTACTATATGTAGACGACATTTTGCTTATTGACAACACTTGGATTTGATTTACACAATTATCAATACGATTAGATTTTTATTTCATGAGTTTTCGAAAAATAATTTTGGTATAATTTCAATTTACAAATGAAGTACTCTGATCTGATTAACAAAATTATTGTTATGATAAAATTAAGAAAAATGTTACGGTCCCGTTACAGAATAATTCATTCAAAATTTGTAACTGTTACGTTATAATGTAACAATGAAAGACAGTTGATCTAACGAATATAAATCCGACAGAATGGTTTCGTAACGAGACCGTGACATCTCTGGATGTCCCTAAGATCAGATCACTGCAAATATTAGACACGACTCTTTTTAAAATTGACATAAAAACATATGTAAAACATGGAAGATAGTTGATTTCATTTAAAAATAATAGTAAATTGATTCGAAAATTGAAGTGGTTTTTGAAATTTAAACTGGTTTTCCATTTTCCATACATCAAAACCTTTGACCCCAAAAAACCAACTTACCTTTGTAAAGAGGAATGAATATATTCGTCTTTTGCTTGTGTTGGTTTGAAGTGTGGTTGAGTTCAAAGGATCTCAAGTGATTCCGATTTACCTTGGCGGTGGAGATTGGGAAATTTTTTCTTCTGCGCTTTTTGTCTGCAAGCTTTGTTCGCGATTCTCGTTGCCGGAGATGGAATCTTCCAGCCTGCTTTCCGTTTTGGCACTGTTGTTTTCGATTCAGTTGATGATGTGGGCGGTGACTGGGAATATAGTGTTCAGAGTTGATCACAAGTACGGTGGACGAAGCAATAAGGCGCTGGGGGAACTCAGAGCACACGACGCGCGGCGGCACGGTCGAATGCTTGCCGCTCTTGATTTTCCGTTGGGTGGTGATGGTTCACCCACCGGTGCAGCGTATGTAGTGATCATATGAACTTTACCTCTATATGGGATTGTAGTGATCTGATTGTTATTTCCCCTTTTTTTGGGGTCATTTTCTCAAATATGTGAATTGATGCAGGCTCTATTTTACCAAGGTCACCATTGGAACTCCTCCAGTTGATTATCACGTCCAGGTGGACACTGGAAGTGATATATTGTGGGTGAATTGCCAGAACTGTGAGAGGTGTCCTACAAAAAGTGATCTCAAAGTATGATTTACTCAATCCTATGTATTATTTTTATGTATTTTAAGATTGATCAAGCTTCTTTTATTGAAGGGGAAAAAGAAAAATATTGGTACTGGGGTTGAGTGTTATATGGATTTTATGCTTTTGTCTTTCAGATAAGTTTGAAGCAGTATGATTTATCGGCCTCCTCCACGGGTGAGCTCATCAGTTGTGATGATGATTTTTGTACCATTGCTGTCGATCATCACAGTTCAGACTGCAAAAAAGGAATGAACTGTGAATATTTTGTTGCCTATGGAGATGGAAGCCGAACGGAAGGGTACTTTGTTAGAGATCAATTCAGACTCGATCAAGTTTCAGGGAACCTCCAAACATCGACAATGAACGGATCCATATCTTTTGGGTGGGTTCTCCTGTTTTATCCTTGACTTAGACTGATCACTGAAAATACCCTTGAGGTTGAGTCCAATAATGTCTCAGTTATCTTTCAAAAATTACAATCCAAATATGGAAATTGCTCCTATAAAAGAGGTGAATTGTTCAGTAAGTATAAAATATCAAGGGGACTATTATTGTAATACCTTAAGGGAGCTATTTGAAATTTAGAACTCAATTAGGTTCATATTTTAATTACGCTTAGTCTTTGTGAGATTTAATCACTTCTAGATTTTATTTTGTGCCCCTTAGCATTTGTTCTAGTCCATAAATCTTGTTGGGTTTTGTTTATGCAGTTGTCATTAGCATGAATTTTTTCTTGAATTGCATGATATATTTTGCTACGAGTAATAAATATCGATGCTTTAATCAGTATTTGGTAACTGGCACAAGTTTTAAGATTTATATCAAACTTTGTTTGAATTATTGCTGAGTTTGGATGGCAACTTACATGTATAAGGTTATCAAAGTATATTAGCCTATCATGAAATGACTCTACATTGTTTTAGATGTAGCTATCGCATTGTATGTGATAGTGATACGATGTTTACATGTCCTGAAATTAATCATTTAAAAAGTAAAAAAGAAAATTTCACGTCATTGATTTATACGCCTATATTTTCTCTTGGCACCCCATCCCCCCAATGTCACACACACACACACTGGATCACACACACACACACACACTCACAGGTACATGCATGTATGTGTGCACATCTTTTGTTTATGATTGGATACCTCGTGACCTAGCTGTATTTGTCCTAAATTAGTTACTTGTGCATCATAGTTATACAACCATGTGATGCTTATAAGCTATATCTACTATCATCATTTATTTATCTTACTGACTATTAGACATAATAGTTGTTTATTACATGAAATCTCTGTGTAATCTTTTGTGGCAAAAATCCTGTTGCACTGCAAAACCTGACATAACTTTGCATGTTAAAAGTCCGTTGGGCTAACTAAATCCAATTGGTTACATAGGCAATTAATAGTCTACTTGAATTGCCTTTACTGAATGCATATTTTTTGTGAATGAATTGCTACTTACCTGAATTAACATTTATCTACATTTGTTTATACATTACACTTGGTCATTAATGTCAGGGGAAAACTAGTTTTATGCTCCGTGAATCCTGAAAATTTTGATGAAAATATTTGGTAGTAATGTCAATTGTTGAAGAATGGTTGGTGAAAATACACTATCCGGAGAATTTTCCATGTAAAATACTAGAAATCTACATCAAATTGATTGCCAAACCTTGGCATTTGCCGATTGTTCACTAAGGAAGTTGACAACAGAGACTTGTTAACGACGAAACTTTCAATAGATGTTTTTTTTTTTTAACTATGTTCTTTTTAATAACATATATTTGTTGTTAGTCCATAGGTTAATTGTAATAAAGATGTTTTTTCTCTGTCTAGTGGCAGAATATTCCCTTCATATTTTATTTGATTGAAAGCAGATCTTTATACTTAGGAAGAGGGTTTAGTTCTTCCCCTCATCATCAAGAGGCTGTACTGGCTGCACTGATTGTCTAGTGCGTTCGGTAATTTCATCCTACGGCTCTTAAAAGTTTGATCACTTGTTTTACTTTAAAATAACCACATTAAATGTCTTGTCCCTTACATACTTTTATCTATTATGTTGCATTTTTATTGTTTTTTTTTCACTTAGTACTCACTGGACCATATTAATTAAAGGTTCTTGAGTTGCTTACCTCATTTACTCATATATTGTGAAGTATCCGATTGGTGTTGTGTTTGGTTAACAAATTCTTGTTTCAGCTCGTCCAATACTTTTACAAATCTTTCTGTTTAAATTTATTATTTGAGCTTTAGACTATATCTTACTTATGGTGATATAAAACAGGTGCTCAGCTAAGCAGTCTGGACAATTGGGCTCATCGTCCGAGGCAGTTGATGGATTAATAGGCTTTGGACAAGCAAATTCTTCAATTCTTTCACAACTTGCTTCAGCTGGAAAAGTGAAAAAGGTATTTTCTCACTGCTTGGCTAGTAATAAGGGAGGTGGCATTTTTGCCATTGGGGAAATAGTGCAGCCAAAAGTGAATAGGACGCCGCTTGTCCCAAATTCGTACGTGACATCAATTCTTCGTTACAAATTTGCTGTTTCTGTTCTGGCTATTATTCAAATGTGCTTAGTCATCAACTTGAGCATGAACTTCGTATCGGCCTATTTCTAACTTTGATTTCTTGTGCATCTCTTTTGTGATATGCTCTTGCAACACAAGCGCAGGACAACTTACTAAATGCTTTCATGTTCATCAAATATTTCCTTGTTTGACTGAATTTTTTTTCCCCTTTATTATTTAGGCAACATTATAATGTTATTCTGAAATCAGTTGAGGTAGGAGGTCAGTTTCTGAACCTTCCGACAGACATATTCGACGCAGGGTCCAATAGAGGGACTATAATCGACAGCGGTACAACCTTGGCCTATCTTCCATCTGTAGTTTATCAACAGCTTATGAGTAAGGTGCATCTAAAAGGCTCATCAATCCCCAGCTTAGAGCTTTATCGTTTGATGAACTTTTGAGTAACATTGGTTTCTTGATTATGTAATTTCAATCTACATTTTTTGTTGTTTATCTTTTCTCTCTCTCATTTATTTATCTGTCATTAGGTCATGGAACAACAACCGGATCTACAAACTCACGTGGTTGAGCAGCAGTTCAGATGTTTATGGTACCGGGGGAAGTAGGTATCACCACTGTGGCGGAACTTAGGGGGCATTGGATATCAAATGTTTCCAGTTCACTCTACTACAATATTTTATTCAAGTTAACTAAAAACTCGTCTCACTTGATATTTTTTCAGTACAAGGTTTAAAAAAAATCAATTTAACACATTCCCCTATAAATTTTAAATTGTGTCCACTCACTTATTGTTATAACTACTAATTATTTTACATCAAGTCAATTTAATCATTACTTTTCCATCTACAATCAGTCAAACTTTTCAAATTCTTCTTTTTCTATCCAAAATGTTATCCACTCATTTTTCTCCAGGTAAGAAACTTTTTAAATATAAAATTGCACGGTATTTCTCATGTCCACGTGTTACTTTTTTTCTGTTCTTCTAATAGCTTATGGAATTTTACCTGATTGTCCATTTCACATAACCTTGCAGTGTTGATGATGGGTTTCCAGTTGTAAAGTTCCATTTTGAGGGCTCACTCATTTTGACTGTTTATCCCAATGAATATCTGTTTGAAATTAGTGTAAGTAAACTGGATTAATTTGGTTGGATGTACACACCTTTTCATTAAAACAGGCTAGTCCGAGATTTGGACTGTCTGCTTTACATATTAGGGCCATAGAAAAATATTTGTATGATAACTTATGATACCACTGCTTTACATTTGGATTACCTTATAAACTACAAGAGATCACTGTAGATATTAAAATTAAAATTATCCTAATTTCCTTGATTGTTTGTTAACGCTTGAAAACAAAATGTATGAAGTGAAGTATGCCTGTGACGTTCAGTTGGGTTTTCTTAAAGTTTTTATTATATAGTCTATATCCATGCCTCTTGCTACTATGACATTGATTCGCAAAGACCATAAATTGAAAAGACCGAAAAATGGTGCTCCAGCTAGCTTTTTAGTGTGATTACATAAATGGCGCTGCTTCTTATTGCTTTGCTTCACCACTTGCCTCTTTCAAGTTATCAACATGTGAACTAAATTTAATTTCAGGATAATGAGTATTGTATAGGTTGGCAAAACAGTGCAACACAAACTAAGGATGGACAAGATATGACTTTATTGGGAGGTATTTTCAATGTTTAATTTTTATTTTTTTGTTCATTCTTTTTGCATGGAGGCATAACTTGTTCTTTCCTGTCAACCTTCTGTGCATTCATATTAGACCCTTTTGCTATCCGAATAAGTAAATGAAAGATTTTCGAAATCAAGTTTTTATTGGTCAAATGATTTTGATCTTATTCATTTTTTCTGTATATACTTTACTTTTGAATTTTCCCCTGAATTTTTTTAGTTATTATTTGCAGACATAGTGTTGTCAGACAAACTAGTTTATTATGATCTCGAAAATCAGACAATTGGATGGGCGCAGTACAACTGTGAGTCGACTCCTATTAAACTTCGTTATTGTAGCCTATTTCGTTCATAGCGTTAAATTATTGCTTTCCCTGTCCAACTTTTCTTCCGTTGCCTGTATTTCTTAGCAGTTGTTTATAACAACTAATTCTATTTATCTATTTCTGAATAGTAGACTATAAGCTCGTGTTGGGGTCTTCAGCTCAACATTTGCATCTACTTTAGGTCCATCAGAATTTAACATCGACATAGAATTGAAAAACAAAATAAAATTGACCAGTTAATCTTTTGAATTGAAAACATCCCGGGACATATGTTGTAATTGTATTTCTTTGAATGTTGGCTTAGGTTCATCGAGCATCAGAGTTAGAGACGAAATGACTGGAAGCGCTTATGCTGTCAACGCCCATGACTTGTCATCATCTACTTTGAGTTCATCAGAATTTGATTTTGTTTCTATTCTTTTGTTTATTGCTGTCATCTTCAAACTGATAGAGTGAAGAATGCACTTTAGAAAGTGATGCAGCTGCTTTTCTTTCTTTCTTTTTTTTTTTTTTTTTTTTTTTTTTTTTTTTATTTTTTTTTTATTTTTTTTTATTATTTATGTAACATAATAGAATTTTGATTTGGAGGTGTTTCCAAATTCTTTGTATAAATGTGGAAGTCTTTTTGCAACTGTGGGCATTATATACATAGACTCCTTGTACTGTGGCACAATTGTTTTCTGGTACATTCAACACTAGCGCGGCAAAAGAACCGAACGTTCACGAACGAAAGCTCATTCGTGTTCGTTAAGGGCTTGTTTGATTAATAGTCAATCCGAACTCGAACATGCAATTCATCTCCTTTATTTATTCGAAGAACACGAACATAGATGAACGAACGCGAAAAACATGATTTTTAATAATATTGTGTGTGTGTGTGTATATATACTAGTTTGGATCCTGTGGAATGCACGGGGTGGACAATTTTTAAGGTTATTTACTAAAGCTTTTTTCTTATATATATTTATGTGAATAGAAATAGTTAATCAAGATAAAATAATAAGAACAACATAACATTTTTAATCAAATCATCTTTCGCATAAGCTAATATTTTCAAACCCTGATTAGTGGCAATATATATATGATCTCATATATTAATAAAGATGTCTTCTCATGGTTCGCTAAAGATGAAGAATCAACACAGGTGGTTGACGTGCATTTTTATATTGACTTTCAATTTCCATAAGGCATTCAATTTAATTCCCAATGCGTGCAATTGATCTTCTTTATTATACACAATTGTTTAAGTAAATAATTAATTCGATTTTATACAAAAATATAATAAAAATAAATAAAAGAAGTGCTTACTTCTAGGTCAATGAGAGTACACAGAATCATTCGTGTTGCACGTCATTAACATCTTTCATTTTGACGGATCCAATTTCAACCACCAGACTAATTACATCTGCTAATAAATTGTAAATTGTAAACTTATATAATTTTAAAATAAAATGATAATTATACAAAAAAAAAAAATGATAAAAAAAATTTCCAAATAGCACAGTTTGTTCTTGACGTACAACTTAACGGAGAGTAACAAGCCGTCACAAATCAAACCTAAAAAGGGGTAAGTCACCTTTGAACTTCACCAAATTGGTCATACCGTGGATCACAATTTTAAACTAGACAATGGTAAGTATGAATGAGCCAAGTTTCTCTCTAATTGGTAATTTTGAATTCCATAGACATGTCTTCTTTGACAATGTCTATTCATCTTTTTATGTGATGTCTATTCATCTTTTTATGTGTGCAACCCGTATAGTTTCAGTGATTATGACCTTGCAATAATAAAAATTCAATACAATATAAGTACAAAAGTTATTTAGTAAAAAAATATTATTATAATTATTTACACGAATTGAATAAAAAAATTGAATCTCACCTCCTCAAATTTATATAGAAATTTGGGCAAAAACTCTTATTGCATCGCGAACATACTTGTTCGTCTATTCACATCTTGTATATTATGTCAGTTTTCTATTCACATTCTAGAAATGGGATTGGAATAGTCATTAGAATGAAGAAATAACGAATTACAAAAATGTGTTTTAAAAAATATCTAAATTTTCAATTCATATACAATATGATACTTACATTATTTATGTAAATATATATATTTGAATGTTCCTCGACAATCAATCAAGGGGCAGCGGTCGACATCCGACGAGGCTCAGACGATCTCCATCAATGGAAATAAGAAACATATCAGAGTCGACCAAAAAATTAAAACGTAAGTCCTCAATCCCTAACAATTAATTCGGCGGGGTTAGGATTAAATTCGTTAATTATGTGAATGTGCACATGAGTCGACGTTCTTAACCGAAACAACAACTAGTATCACAACCGCCTAATGCGGCTTGCGTGTACACTTTCGAATTATAATTATGTGAACATACATTAAAATAATTATGTACGGGGGCAACGCATGTAGTATAGAATTGCAAAGGTTGTATTTTTGTAGAAATTCTTTGTCCGACTATTATGGCTTGTATGTATGTGTTTTATTTATGCATGTATGCTTGCCTTTTTAAAGTATCAGACATATTGGAGAATTTTTGAGTTCTGAATGATTGTATTCTTGTAAGCGCGCGGTGAGACACTGCATATTTTATTATTTTACTAGAATCATTCATGTGCGGCCTGCGTGAGTTATAAGTCATGTAATTATTTAGTAAATTTATCAACTAACCCGAAAGATCGAGAACGAGCTCGGACGAGTGAGGACGCGATCGGTGCAACCTCCAGCGAGTCGAGCTAATCGCAAACCCGTGATCGTCGGTGCATGACTGGATCATTATATCTTAGACACGGGAAGATAGATAGCGTTAACACATTCAAATCCACAATACATATAATCTTCCTCACCCTTGTAGCACTTGTTGGCCACCCAAGTAAAAACGCATTGATAACCCTTTGTTCCTCTGCAATACATCAAAGATGACCTCTGCAACATATCCGATCCCAACGCTAGCGGCCTCAGTTCCTAGAAGACTATCCTTCTTCGTCACCCATTGCTCGTCAAATCTGTATCGTTCCAAAGCCTGTGGGTTCGATGGATTTTCACGCCTCAGATCTGTTTACGGCTCAACAACACTCGCCAAGTTTGATAAATTTCAAGGCGGCCGGGACAATTTTGAACAAGATAATCCACAACAAGTTGAAGAATTTGAAGAGGATGACAGGTTTGGACATTAATTCGATTTCAGTTGTTCACTTCTGCAGCTGAAACTCTGAGTCTCGTTTTGTTGTTTTGTTGTGTTACTGCTAAGATGTTTTGCCAGTTATTGAATTCAAGTTCATTGCTTCACACATTGCGACTGATGATGACTGTTAAGTGGAAAATTATGTATTAGACAATTATCTTGATTCCCTCTAAAGATAAAGAAGGATCATGCCAAAGAATGAGGATAGTCTACACTTAAATAGCATGATTGCTGTGGATTTTATTTGCTTACATGACTTGTTCGTGCTAGCTATTCTCTTTTTGTTTCACATTGTTTAAATGAAATTTGAATTTACGCAGCTGAGACAACTATTAGGTACATTCTGTAACCGAGCATGAGGTATTTGCCACATTCTGTAACCGAGCTATAGACGAGATGTAATATCTCCTTCATCATGAAAAAAATTATTTTCAGCTCAAGAAGGTGTATGCAACAATTTGTCACTAAACTAGTCTTAAGCTTGAAATCTCCTTTGAAAAATATGAGAGGGAGAGGGAGAGGGTGAGGGTGAGGGTAATACTTCATAATGCAATCTGAAATGTAGAATAATGCACTTACTTTTGGTTTACATTCCATAGTTGCAAAAGTTACATTGAACCATCGATCATTCAGTCGTACTGAATCTGAGTTGAATAACTGCAAGATTATGTACACCTGTTCTGGGTTAAAATAATTTCAGCTTTTTGTGAAATATTTGTCTTCTCTAGCCTCAGTGATGATTCCATGGTCAGGTTGTTGTTTCCAATATGAATCGGAGAAATAAAGTAATAAACTGACAATTCTATATGTTTCTTCTATAGCGAGGACAACTCTCATTTGCGACATTGATGTAATATAACCACTAAAGCATGCAAAGTCTTATGTCTTTCTATTATCAATAAATAGAGAGAAACTTGTTGATTTTTTTCGCTAAAACAAAGTCTTCTTCTTCTTCTCCTTCTCGTTCTCCTTCTTCTATTTCTCCTTCTCCTTCTCCTACTTCTCCTTCTATCTATCGTTAAATATTTTTCCACAGTTATATACTGTATATTTCATTTGATTTATTTTATTTTATTTTATTTATTTTTAATGTGTGAGTCAATCATCTTTTTTCATGTAGTTGTAACCACTTATATCTATCCTTAGAAATTTTTCCACAGTTATATACTGTATATTTAATTTGATTTATGTTTCAGTTGCCTTCCTTCTGATTTGGAGGGTGCAGTGCATCAATCAGGCCAAGCAAGTGCGGAGTTTATTTCTTCAGGAGGAATGAGAGCTATAGTGAGTATATGAGTCCTTTTAATTTGTTTCAGTTGCTATGTTGCGAGTGAAGATAGTCAAGGGCTTGCTGCAACTATGTCAAGAGCAGTTTCCAGGTTCTAGACAAGCACATGCGACATCTTTGAACCTAAAACATATTGTCTTAGTCTTATTTGTTCTTGTCATTTTGCTTATCAAATGTTGTAGCATGTGAGTTTTCTGCTTCTGTAGGTAGAGCTATTAATTCCACAGCTGCAGTTCCTTGATAATGAAGGGGCCCAAGCAGAGCTTTGGGAGCTGTCAAAGATCTTTATGGACACTCTAATTGAAGAGACGGGAGGCCAGGTTGGTCTCTGATATATGTTATAGTACAATATTGTGGTAGGTTATGAGTTTATGTACAAATATTTTCATTTGTTTTCGCAAATGTAGTTTTATACATATGTTAATGCAGACATATATAATAAAGCCTTAAAAGTTAAAATGAATACCAACTTCTTCGCCAATTTAGTTAGACCAGCAACAACTGTTACTTGAAACGAAACCCTAACCAGATAATAAGAGATGCTGAAATATAGAAAAAAAAAAAGTTTTAAAAAATTAGAAGAAAGCTTGCAATCATAGTTCTTGAATTGGTCCCTTTCCCCGACATTGAGAATAGTGCAATTGGTTTGTGGGGAGAAATTCTAATCTTTGGGTGTACTTATTCTTTTTAATAGGTCACCGGGGGCCTGATAGGGAGTGAATATCAATTAGAGGATTGAACTTTGTAATCTGCCATTACAACATTCTTAAGAATGGACAATATAACTTGAGCTACAAGCTTGTGGTTCTTGGGTGTATTTACAATTTGATGTGTGCTTATTATCTTTTGGGGTGCGAATAGTTGCACCTAGAATAAGGATTCTTTTTTTTTTTTT